CTGATTTTGCTTCTCTAGAGAACCCAGCCTAACACAGACACTGACCTTTGTCCATGTCATCTGGGGGCTGTGAGATGAGGGCCCCCACTCGATCTGCACAGGTGTGGTGGAAATGCAGGTGGACCCCATGCCACCCTGCACCCCCAGTCCCTCTCATCGTCTGGGACTTGCTGGGCATCGAGACACCTGTCTTCCAGGCTGACAAATGCCTCCAGCAGGTACCGCCAAACCACTACAACTTCTTCATCGTATGCCACCACATGCTTCCCAACCAACCCCACCTCCGGGCGCAAAGCAAGCACTTCTCCTTCATCTGCTCCAATGTGGGCGCTACCCCAGCACCTTCTCTGAGGAGGGTGTGGGTGTGCTTGTACCAAGAGGACTGTTGGCTGTGACTGGAGGGCGAGGCGTGGGGCACTGGGGAGAGAGGACTCCTGGGATGTTGTCCTCCCCTTCCTCTTAAGAGTGGGAAAGGGGTTGCCCAAGGTCACACTGTATGACTAAACTAGGACCCACATGAAATAGGCTGACAGCTGCCGTTTGCTGAGAGATGGCACTTTTCAGTCACACATGACAGAGACCGATTCCTTTCACTAAGGGAAAAAGGACATTTTTTGGTTTGGCTCACTATGAGTTGGAATTCAACTCGACCTCAATGGGTTGAGTTTGGCTTTTTGGTTGGTATTTGAAACATTGAAAGAACCAGTTGCCAGGGAGTAGACTCCAATTCACAGCCACTCACGTGTGTCAGAGGAGAACTATACTTCACAGGGCTTTCAGGGACTGGTTTCTTGGACGTAGATTGTTAGGCCTGCCTTCTGAAGTGCCTCTGGGTGGACCTGAACACTCAGCCTTTCAGTTTGCAGCTGAGTGCACTGTTGTTTACACCAGCCGGGGACTCCTTTGAAAAATTACAGCAGTGCATACGATGTGGCCTCTGACACCTGCCGATGGGCAGCTAGCTTTTCTCAAGGGCTCAACGCAGGTGGGGCACCATTTCCACAGCTTGTTGCATCAGCCCAGCACCCCTAGGAGGTTAAGTGCAATGATTACCTTATTTTGCAGAGAAGAAAATGGAAGTTTAGAGAAGTCTGGTAACCTGCCCAAGGGCACACGGGTGGCAGGCAGCCGCAGCCTGGCTCCACAGCTGATGTTGCTGTTGCCGCCGAGTGGGTGTTGACTCCTGGCAGCCCCACGCATACACAGCAGGACCGCTCCGTAAGGTCTCCAAGGCTGTGACCTTTCGGAAACAGATCGCCAGACCTATCTTCCGAGGTGGCTCTGGGTGGGTTGAAACAGCCGACTGTGGTTAGTAATCTGGCACTAAACCATTTATGCCACCCTCTCCCAGGACTCCTCCAGGGCTGACACTCAAAATGAATGCACTGTGCAAGTTTGTGACAATTGTTTGAGCCCAGGCAGCCGTCAGGACACCACAACCTTCTGAAACATGGAAACCCAAGTGGTATCCTCGTTTCCCACAGTGGGAAGTGGTTAAGTTTGTGTGTCAACTTGGCTGGGGCTGGTTGAGTGGCTGGGCAGCTGGATGGAGTATTCCCCACGATGAGACTGGCAATCAACTCTATGGTGGAATCTACTGGGAGCAGCTGAGTAACTGCCTTAAGGAATGTGGTCTGCTTCCTGTATATAAGGAGTTGTTGTTATGTGCCATGGAGTCAGCCCCGACTCATAGCGACTCCTCGTTGGGTTTCCGAGGCAGTATTTCTACCATAGTTGACTGCCCCATCTTCCTTCCAAGGAGTGGCTGGTGGGTTTGAACCGCCAGCCTTCTGGTTAGTAGTCAAGTGCCTTAGACGCTATGCTACCAGAGCTCACTATATAAGGAGAAGCCTTGGGGAATGATCTCTAGCTTACGGCGCGCTTGAACTCTGCATGTAGCTGAGTCATTGTTCAGCACCCTGCCATGCTCTGCCCAATCTTGGGACTTTTAATGGACTTGAATTAATGGCCTGCCGTGTGGTTTGCTCATATCAGGACTGTGCCCTTTTACTTGAGAGCTCTGGTGGCATAGTGCCTAAGGCATTTAACTGCTAACCAGAAGGCTGGTGGTTCAAACCGACCAGCCACTCCTCCGAAGGAAGATGGGGCAACCTACTTCTGCTTGTCAGCCTCAGCAGCCAGCAGCTGTCTGAGTGAAGAAAAGCCTCTAGCTCCAGTGGGCCGGGAGCAGGAAGCAGGGCTGAACCCCAAGGTCGAGGGGCTTTCACCCAGCCCCTAGAGCCTGGCACTTTGAACTCGGACTTAAAGCCTCCAAACTGTAAGAGAATAAACTCCCATTTGTTCAAACATCCCATTTGTGGTATATATTCTTGTCAGAGCGGCACCAGGGAACCAGAGCAGGTGGGGTGGGGTGGGAGGACTCCCAGGACTTCCTGCTCTCCATGTTTGAGTTGGGCCATATGACCGCCACCTGCTGGAGAAGATGGTGAAGAAACTGAAAAGCCACAGTGGCACACATTCCTGGTGGCCATGCCTGGTGTCTCATGGACCATTCTAAAGAAGGGGTCTCACTGCACCAGTACAACTGACTGGTGGCCACGGTGGCCTCTGGCACCAACCCAAGTCCTGTGCTGGACATAGAGGGTGTGTCATATGACCTGGACACACTCATGTGCTCCCTACAAGGCCACTGCCACAGCTTTAGCCTACACAGTGACACCCTTGGCAAGCTGAGCAGACAGGCAGCCCCTGGCCCTAATCCTGGTGACAGACAGTATAGGGCCCACAGACCAAGGTCAGAGAGGCGTTGCTGGGCCAGACCTCTGACCTCTCCCAGAGGCTGCTAAGTCTGTCCTGGGCACCTCTGCCACCACCCACCTGACGGCTCCATGAGGCCCGGACGTAGCAGCCGAGGATGCCCAGGATGTGCTGAGGCCAGCCCTCCTCCCCAAATCCAACCACAAGATCCCAGGTGAACCAGCTGGAGGTGGCAGGGAAGGGGTGAGAGGACAGTTTCTGTCCCTAGACTGAGTGGGGTTGAGGGATAGGAAGTTACTCAAGCTCTCAACTCTCCAGGGCTCAGCCACGTGCCATCTTGTGCATTTGTGGCCCTGGTCTCATGTCTACCTTCCCTGTTCTGGTGAACCCCCGCCAACCAGAGGACCCTGGGAAGCAGGAGAGGGGTTGGGATACGGGACGTGATTAGAGCAGACAACTAGCTAGAGAGGGCAGTTAGGGACCTCTGTGCCACCTAGGGAGGGGGCAAAGGCCTGAGCGTTTCTTCTTCTTGTTGCTGTTATTATTGTGACCTGACTCAGAGCCACCCCTCCTTGGGTTTCTGAAGCAGTATCACTACAGAAGTAGATTGCCCAACCTTCCTTCTGATGAGTGGCTGATGGGTTTGAACCGCCAGCCTTCTGGTTAGTAGTCAAGTGCCTTAGGCACTACGCCACCAGAGCATTTTCTTAAGAGGGTGTAAATGTCACAGCTCTCAGGACCTTGTGGGTCATCTTTATGTTGGGATCATGGAGGGACCAAGAGGAGGGGCCCCTAAGGCATCACAGTCGGGGGGTGGCAGTGAAGAAGCTGCCCCAGCTCTCCCACCCCCACCACAGCCCCTCTGGACAGGTGCACAACGCCCACTTCTGGCCAGATCTCTTCACTTCCCCCCACCATCTGCTGTTTCTTGAAAGGTCTAGGGATTTACATGCACACCAGGGCTGTATGGGTTACGCTGAGGGCAAAGGAAGGCCCCGGAGTGCCACTGGGAGTACTGGGTAGATGAGACACTCCGCTGGCTAGGAAACTGATGGATTTACTCATTGACAGCGTGGAAGCGGCACTGAGGGTCAGGGCTAACCCGAGGCAGAGGAAGTGAACACGCCAGTTTGGAGACACTGGGCAACAATGACCTGAGATGACGTACTGTGCTGAAGGTAGATCAGGGTCTACCCGAGGGGAGGTTGTCAATTTCAAGGAGTGCTGGATTAGGTGCTAACCCCACGCGACAGACCCAAAGTGCCCCGTTGGGTCTTCTAGGCTGTCGTCTAAAGGTGGCAGATCGCCAGGTCTCTCTCCCACGGAGCAGCTGGGTGGGACTGAACCATCCACCTTTTGGTTAGTGGCCAGCGCTGACCCACTGCGCCACCAGGGCAGGGGCTGTTCTTCACAGATCAAACAAGGTTGATAAGGGAGGACAGGCACCGCGTGTGCCAACCACAGGCACAGTCTACCAGGGAAGGCGTCTGGACAGGAGCAGCACCTGCGTCCACTGAAGGTGTTAGATCAGTGAAGGACGCATTCTGGCTATAACCACAAGGAGGCATCGTGGCTAGTGGCATTTAACCACCGCAGGCAGGCTTGGGGTGGGAACCAACAACTGAGTTTAACTGAGGCTGGGGGCCGTTTTCCTGTCTACATCACACAGCATGGAGGCTTGATGGCACGGCACCCGGGGAAGCATGACAGCCCTTTCTGGAGGCTCCAGGATCCATCTGCTCCTGACAAGCCCATGGCCCACAGTGGATGGTGTGCAGGGAGCTCATGCTCCAATGGGCGGCTGAGGACAACGTGCCCACAATGTGCCCCGTTCCCAGATGCACACTGGGCAGAGAAGAGTACGGGAGCAGGCGTGCACGACAGTATTTATTTGAATCACCAAATCTGTCCCAAGAAAGAGCCCTCCAGACCCGGCCTTACGCTGCATTCCTTGGAGACAACACAGAGGGACCGGTTGCTGCTGGCCCTGCAGAGGGGGTCAAGACAGAGCCGGGGCTTCCTGCTCGGCCACTCAGCCTCCTCCTGCTGCTGTCTCTCTGCGGGACTCAGGAGGGGCTGCCCGTCACAGGCTGGGCTGGGATCTCAAAGTCGCCACCTGAATGACCCTCCGCTGAGCACCTCACATCTCCGGCTGAGGAAGTCACAGTCCTCGTCCCCCAGACCCACTGCCACTCCCCATCTGCTGGAAGGAGGATGCCTCCGTTCCCTCGCGGTCTGCTGGGGACCCACAGGGGGTTTCTCTGCATATTCCTCCCTCAGCCTCAGGCCAGCAGGCGGCTGTACTCTGCCAGCGCAGAGGACTTCCTCACCCCATCCCAGATCCGGGCAGCGTAATGGAACCTGGGAGAGGAAGTCAGCAGTGAGGGCGGCCTGGTGAGGAAGCCCAGGCCAGCGTTGGAGCAGAGGCATGGGTCCGAGCCTCCCAGAGCCCGGTCCCCTCAGGGCCCTGAAGGGAGGTGGCCCTGGCTGCTCTCAGCTCGCCCAGGGTAAGCAAAGTGCCGGCCTTGGACTAAGACCTCAGTCCCCACCAAGTCTAGTCTAGAGCACCGCCCTCTCCCCTCCATGTCAGCCTTTGGGGGTGGGGCTCTTGTGAGGACGAGACACACCCAACAGCAGCTGCACCCCCCCCCCACAGACCAACGAAAGGAGCAGTCAGCTGACAGTCAGCTCGGCACCACCCCTGCCCGCCCACCCTGCGCTCCCCAGAGGCTCCCTGCCCTGTGTTTGCACCCCCTCTGGCCCTTCTGGCCACAGCGGGCTGCAGAGAGCCCCAGGGAAGCCAGGCCAGAGGACCAGCCCTTTCTCTTTCATAGGAATTTAGAAAGAAGATGAGGCACCCCGGGCCCCTCGGCTGAGGCCTCTGGACACAGGCAGTCACACACAGTAGGGGTGGGACAGGTGGTGCGGGGTGAGTGGAGGCTGGGTGGATGACACCAGCAGGCAGTGGGAGGAAAGGGTACGGAGGATGAGGGCGGGCACCAGGTAGGCCGGAGGCGCAGCACCAGGGCTCCTGCCGGCTCCGCATCCTGGGAGGCAACATGCTCTGCACCCAGGTCCTTGTAACAGCCCTTCGTCAGGCTTAGCTGGCCTGACTTGCTCTACTTCTAACAATCAGAGGACCCCTAATCACAGGGACTTCCCCACTTTGTGACCTTGGACAGGCTACTTTCTCTCTAAGCCTCAACTTCCCCATGAAACAATGACAAAACCTACCCCTCACTGACCAATCAGAAAGAGAAACTCAAAATGGTAGGGTGCCAGCCTGGAAGAGGTCCTCACCAGCTGGCAGCAGCCCAGGGAAGGAGACTGAATGTGGAGAGGGGCAGGGCCTTATCGAGGTCCCCCCATCTCTGGGAGCTCCCTTCTCTGTTGGCACCAGTGTGGGGCACTGGAACTGACCCCTTTAGGAAGAGCTCTTACCAGTTCTTCTCAGTGAGGATCGTGTGTGAAAGCTGTGGCCGGGCCATGGACAGCACCTGGCTACGGAGCTTGCTCACCAGGGACTGGAAGCTGGGGTGGCCGCGGTACCCAGGCAGCAGGGAGAAGAGGGGGCTGGAGCCAGGTCCTGGAAAGGTTCAGTGAGTGCTGAGTAAGGTGACGGCCTCAGAGTGAGTGCTCCTCCCCGGCAACCAGCCCCCATGGACCTCAGGGGGCATTGGAGGGACACCCTGGCCCAGCCCCCCCAATGCTTGCACCGCTCTGAAACAGGCCCCAAGAAAAGCTTCAAGTCTTGGGGACAGGTCCATGTCACCCCCAGACCAAGGTGGCGTCTCTGTCTCCCCAGATGACGGAAGGACCTGTCTGTGGCCCAGACCCCCAAGGGGTGACTGCACCTGCTCTCGGTGGGTTTTCACTCTCTGCTTCGCTGTCCATAAAAGGCACGAGGAACAAGTTGACTTCAGAGTCCAGGTAGTCAGGCGGGAGCCCCGGGAAGACGTTGCACTGTAACATGGACAGGGTACCTGGAGGAGAGACTGCATCAGCCTGTAGGTGCTGTGTGGGGGTGGGGGTGGTAGGTGGGCAGGGGTGGTGGGTGGGCTGGGGTCAGGAGGCCAGGCTGGGGGTCCGGGTTAGGGGCTAGGAGGCTGCTGGCCAGCGTGTGGTGGGCTTTGTAATGCAGGCGGGAGTGGGCTGAGGTGGCCCGGGGCGCCCTCACCCTTGTATCGCAGGTGGGAGTGAGCCATGAGCTGGTCGATCATCAGATGCATCTGCCGCAGCTTTCGGGGACAGAAGTCCTCACGGCGAGCTTTGTTCTGCAGAAAGACTGAGGGGGGCGGTGGGAGGGAGACGGGGCTCATGAGGTGGGCAGGGCTCAGTCTTGGGAACTCCCTCTCTCAGCCCAGGGACCTGCCCTTAGCCCTAAGTTGGGATCAGTGGGGAAACACTGCTGTAACTTCACTTAGCGCTGGGCCCTGTGTTGGGTGCTGCCGGGACAAACCCGGTTTCTGCCTCAGTCTGATGGAAGAGTGATGAGGAAGACAGCCTCACGAGCAGGGACATGACAGGAGGCGGCACATGGGGCTTAGCGAGGCCAGAGCCTGGGGTGAGGCAGGGGGTCCTAAGTGAACTAGAACTCTGCAAATGAGAAGTGTGAGAGCAGGTGCAACAGGACGTGGCAGGCAGAAGAACCACGTGTGCAAAGGCTACCGCAGGCATGGATGAACTTGGAGGACGTTATGCTGAGTGAAGTAAACCAGTCACAGAAGGCCCAATACTGCAGGAGTCCACTATTGTAAGAGTCAAGGAAAGTTTATACATGGAAGGACTTCGTTGGTTACCAGGGATGGGAGGGAAGGGGTGGGAAAATTTCCAGACAGCTTAGGGGGAAAAAAAAATGTATACACACACACGAAAACCAAAGATTATTAGTGGTTACCAGGAGTAGGAGAGAGAGAGAAAGGGGAAGCTTTTGTTTGTGGGGCATTGAGTTAACGCTAACGGTGGTGGAAGATTTTGGAAAAGGAGAGCAATCATGGTGGCCCAGCATGCAAAATGTCACCAATGTCCCTGAGCTGTAAATGGGGATCCCAGCTGTTATGAACGTCTTGTATATATTTTCACAATAAAAGTAAAAAAAAAAAAAAAAGGCTAGCGGAGGGAGACCAAGATGCACGGGGGGCACCACTCAGAGTCATGAAGCACTGGTTTCCTGAGCCCTGAGCCCGTGCTAGGAGATGCCAGCAACCCCAAAGGGTGTCAACCTCATTGTGGAGCCAGACACAGACTTGGGAGGCCACACTTTGGGGTCCAAGGCTGGGCTGAGAGAGAGGTAGCCTGTGGTGGTTATGTTTTCGTGTCAACTTGGCTGGGCCTGGTTGAGTGGCTGGGCAGCTGGTGGTAGTTATTCTCCATGATGAGACTGGCAATCAACTCCACGGTGGAATCTACTATGAGCAGCTGAGTTGCTGCCTTAGGGATGTGGTCTGCTTCCTGGATATAAGGAGAAGCCTTGGGAATGGTCTCTAGCCTGTGGCACGCTTGGACCCTGCATGTAGCCATGTCGTTGCTCAGCAGCCTACTATGCTCTGCCGACCTTGGGACTTACAATGGACTTAAGTTAATGGCCTGCCGTATGGTTTGGTAACATCGGGACTGTGCCTTTTTCCTTGTCAACCTTGGGCTTCTCAGCCTCAGCAGCCAGCAGCCGTCTGAGTGAAGAAATGCCTCTAGCTCCAGTGGGCCGGGAGCAGGAGGCAGAGCTGGACCCCAAGGCTGAGGGTCTTTCACCCAGCCCCTAGAGCCTGGCACTCTGAACTTGGACTTAAAGTCTCCAAATTGTAAGAATAAACTCCTGTTTGTTAAGGCCATCCCATTTGTGGTATATTCTTGTCAGAGCAGCACTAGGGAACCAGAACAGAGCCTGAGAGGAAGTAGCAGCTAATCTTTTTTGACCTCCTTCCTCGCAACTCTCAAAAGAGGACTCCTTGCATGGAGGGGAGGACATAAGAAGAGGTAACTAAGGGGAGGAAGTGGGAAGAGAGCTGTTGCATTGTGGGAAATGCAGTCAATGTCATGAGACAAAGCGTATGTGAGCTGCTGTATGGCAAATTAATTTGCTCTGTAAACCTTCATCCAAATCACAATAAAAATAAAATAAAGGATTAATTTGTTCTGTAAACCTTCACCCAAATCACAATTAAAAAAAAAAAAAAAAAAGGATTCCTACCAGCCCCCACCCCTTTCCCGCCCCATCTCCCCGTGCTCCTGGCTTCTCACTCCCCCCCCCTTCCTTCTGCCTCCCGCTGCCCCGCCAGCCCCCAGAAAGCCTCTCACCCAGGTGGGGGTAGTACTCGGTGCCTTCGTCAGAGCCTGATGAACTGCTGCACTCGTGGCTGGGGGATGGGGTGGAGGGCTTCACCATCTCTGCTGTCTGGAGGAACCTTTGGAGTTTGGGGTGAGAGCTCGTCACTCCTGCCTGGTCAGGCACCCAGTATCCCACTGCCCAGGAGGGGGCTTTCTTTGAGGATATAATGTAAGGTACAGCCACCTGTGCTCAATATTGCTCACAACTTGTGGGTATCCAGAGACCCCTCTCAGACGTCAATCATGTCAACTGCATGAATTTTTTGAGTTCACATTATTTTAAAATATCAATAAACGAAAACCAAACCCACTGCTGTCAAGTCGACTCTGACTCACACAGGCCCTAAGGCACAGGAAGAACTGCTACACAGGGTTTCCAAGGCTTCATCTTTAGGGAAGCAGACTTCCTCATCTTTCCCCCACAGAATGGCTCATAGGTTTGAACAGCGACCTTTCAGTGGGCAGGTGAACTCTTAAACCACTGTGCCATCAGGGTGTCTTAAAATAGTAATGGGTTTTTGAAATACATATGAGTCAATAAACTTGTCATTTAAAGGAAGGAATAAGGAGATGTGATAAAGCTGGGGCCGTTCTCCTCACACAGACACACTAAAACCCAGGCCAGTCGTCCCCAATATAGAGGGGCTGCCAACTCTGAGCAGCCCGTCCGTCGACTCTGGCTACCACAGGCTCTGCCCTGTGCCGGCTCCTGAACCGATCGCCCCTAAGAGCGTCACCTTCTCCGTGGCAGTATCCCATACCCCCCACACCCAGACCGGAGCCCAGAACAGTGTCCTCACAATCATGGTCCAAATGCTTGTCAAGTGACCGAATCCCAGCAGCCGAGGGCGGTGGGAGGGGAGTTTCAGAATTAAGTCCTCAGATCCTGCCACAACCACGGGCCACCCCAGCAAGGCCTCCCAGCTCCAGTCAGACCCACAGCTCGCCCCACCCCAGGGTCACTAATGAACCTAGCGAGCGCCCATCTGTCAGTGCTCACTGTGACCCAGATGCTACGCCGAATATTTTCAAGTCCTTGACTCACTGAACCTGGCCACAGCAGTTTCCCTGAGGAACTGAGAAGCGGGAGACCATGTACCCAGTAAGGCTGAATTCAGACCCAGGGCTCTGGAGCCATGTGCGCCCTCCATCCTGGCTCTTCCTCCCTGGAGCGCCTGTTCTTTCCTTCCGCCCGGGCCCTGGGCCCAAAGCTTCTGGCCTCCCCCACAGCTGCCTCCTGGGGCCCGAGGCCAGGGGAACCCCTGTGGCCCCAGGTCCTGAGCCAATCCCAGGGAGGGGGGCCTTTGCAGCTTCTGGCTGCCTCCGGCAGAACTCCTGCCAGGCCCAGACTCCCTGCCAGAGGACCAAGGGGACGGCACACATGCCTAGAGCAGACAGTCAAGACTCCAAGGACCACAGCAGCCAGCTCCCCTTACTATTCATTCAGCAAGTTTGTAGCAAGGATCTACTCCGTCCCAGGCACTGTGTGAGGCTCTGGGGACCCTGCCCTCCTGAGGCTTACATTCGAGTGGGGACAGGCCACAAACAGATCCTGTGGCGGGGGCGGTGACAAGGCAATGAAGGAAAGTACAGCGGAGTAAGGCAGGGAGAGTGAGGGGCAATATGTAAGATGGGCAGAGGTCGGAGGTGGCCCGAAGGACACGAGGCAGGGCATCTGAGAGGTGTGCAGAGGCCCTGGGTTGAGGCAGAAGCCCACACGAGGCCAGGGCCGGCTGCAGGGAGGGAGGGAGGGAGAAGTAGGAGACGAGGTCAGAGAGGTGACCAGGAGCTGATCCGAGCACCATGGAAGCCTTGCCCGGAAGGTCCCTGGATTGTATTCTGAACAAGGTGCGGGCAGCAGAGGGTTGTGAGCCTGTGGGTGGGTGGGTGGCACAGGGGCCCCTCCGCGTTATATTTTAAAAGGGCCCCTCTGGCTGCTGTGTGGGACTTGTGAGACCTTGGGCCAGTGGCACTGAGTCCCTAGGGCTCCATCTCCTATCTTTTCTTGCCAGCCAACCCTGCAGTCGCACCTCACCTGTACAGACTGAGGTCGGTGAACCAGTCCTGGACAACGATTACCACGTGGCACACGGTGAAGAGGAAGGCAGCGATCTGTAGGGACTGAGGGTGGGCGGCAGTGACACAGAGTTAGGGCCCCCTCTGCCCAGAACTGGGGACCCTGATTCCAGGACTTAGCTCGGGGTAGCAAGACAAGGGCCACAGAGCCTCCGAGCACCCACTGGGTACCCAGTACTGTGCCAGCACTTTCTATACAGACCACCCAAAATCCCACAAGGGAGGAACCACCGCTCCATTTCATACAGGTGGCGCTGAGGCCTAGGGTTGGAGCCAGCCTGAGGGCCAGAGCCAGGAGCTGAGCCCGCTGAGCCTCTGTGCCATGCTCACCTACCGCCCCTGGGGTACCCTGGCTGTGGGCAGCAGAAAACAGAATCACCCCATCTGATGCACCATCACAGACCTCCGGGTGCTGGGGGCAGATCTCACCTGCATCTCAACGTAGGTGTGAGGAAGGTTGTACTCTGGGGGCAGTTTGCGGTCGTTGTTGATGAGATGGTCCAAGATGGAGGGGCTCAGGATGGGCTGTGCAAGCAAAGGAGAGGGTGTCAGGGAAGGGGCTGGGGTATGGGACCCAAGGGGTCACGGCTACCCAAGTTCCGCACATTGAAGGCAAGTACGTTGGCACTGTCAGGACAAAGTGAGGCCAGAAACACCCACAGGCAGCTTTGAGTCAGTACAGTGCCAGCCAGCAAGACTCAGTGAGGGTCCTGGTACCTTCCCCAGTTCCCCCATACTGTCAGCGCTGCTCTCAGGTGCCTCCAGCCCCAAGAGGTGAAACCTGTTCATTCACGCTCATTCCTTAACTCTTATGTGAATGAATCATGCTTCTCAGACCCTCTGTGTATGAGTTGTTCAAAATTCTTTGCTTTAAAAACTTTGCTAAGGTAAGTACTTACGTCAAAAAAACAAGGGTTAGTATGACAATTGGTGAGGTTTTAAAAATCAGACCAGTGGGTGGAAGAGAACTGGTAGCGAGGTCACTGAACTTTTCTTAAGGAACCCTGACTTTAAACATTGTGAGAACGGATTAGCTTGGGAGTCTGCTGACTTCCTCCTGCCAGAGACTTCTAGAAGCCACCTTCCTGATGGCTCCCTTTCCTCAATCCCCGACCCAGGGCAGGGTTCTGTTCTATTCTGCTTTGTTAACTTTCATTCTCCCCTCCACGGGCCCTGACCCAGCTCGATCTGGTTCCAGGTCCGGTAGCCCCTGCACACGGACTGACACACGGCTCTCAGACCCCATCTGCAGAATGTTTTTCACTCTTGTGTCCTCAGCACCACAGTGAGCAGAATCCCTGACCCACCACCAGTTACTGAGTGCTGACTGTGGACCAGGCTCCCTGCCGGAGGCACTCTAGGCGGGTAGGGAGAGGGAGCCCTCCACAGAAGTTACATGCTGATGGATGGGGCATGCGGGCGACAGTGGGGAGGGCTGCCAAGGGTAGTGTCTTCAGTGGAGAAGGCATTAAACACGTTGCCATCAAGTTGACTCCACTCACAGCAACCCTACAAGGCAGAGGCACCTGCCCCACAGGTTTCCAACACTGTAATCCTTATAGGAGCAGACGGCCTGGACTTCCTCTCAGAGCAGTGGATGGGTTTGAACTACCAACACTACAGTCAGCAGCTGCACGCTTAAGGTCGCACCACCAAAAAAACAGACCAGAACTCACTGCCACTGAGTTGATCCTGACCCATGATGACCCCCATCGGGTTTCCAAGGCTGTAAATCTTTACGAAAGTAGTTCGCCCCATCTTCCTTCTGCAAAGTGGCTGGCGGGTCTGACCCTTCTGATTAGCACCCAGATAGATGCCTTCTCGACTATGCCACCAGAGTTCCTTAACATGGCCCAAGAAGGACCCCTTAGAACTCGCTGCTGTAAGTAGATTCCACTCACGTCAGCCTCGCAGGACACAGCAGGACTGCCCTTCAGCATTCCCAAGGCTGCCGTCTTTAAGGAAGCACGTCACCAGCTCTTTCCTCCTGCTAGTGGGTTCAAAAGCCAACCTTCCGGTTAGCAGCCAAGCGTTTATGTGCACCACCAGCGCTCCTTGGAGATGTCATCATACGGGCAAAAAAGCAAGGAGAGTGGGCATGTTCTAATTGTGGTACTAACAGCTGACAGGATTCAGTACCTATCACATGTTGAAAGGACTTTCCTTGTGTTAATTCATCAGCTCACAAAAACCCTATGAGGTGGGTGATATTGTTTCTCCCATTTCACAGAAAACTGAGGAATGGAAATGTTAAATAACTTGGCCAAGGTCACAAGGCTGATAGGTGGACCCAGGTCAAGGGAACAGGACGTGGAAAGGCAGAGAGGGGAAGCCATGATAAGTATTCACGGGCCTGGTGAACACCCTGCAGAGGGTGCAGCTAGGAGAGCCTAAAGGAGTCAAGGCCTCACACCCTTTGAACGTCAGGATGAGAAACACAGACTGCCTGAGAGCAAAGGGGAAGCTGAGCAAAGCTGCCAGTCAACGCACGGCCAGTCGGCCAGAACAGCAGTGACGAGCCTGTGTGCTGAGCACGCGCCCGCTCCCGGGCTGAGGCGCTGCCTGATCACTTCACTGATTCCACACAACCACCCGGGGAGGCTGAGCACAACGATCACCCCCGTCCACAGATGAAGAAACTGAGGACACAAAGCCAGCCAGCCAGAGAGCTAAAGGCAGGGTCTGAAAACAAGACAGCCTAGCTCTAGGGCCCAGACAACTGACCTCTATGCCAGAAGACACTAAGCTACTGTGTAGAAGCTGGACGGGTGGGAGAGAAAACCTGACAAGAAGAGACTGAAGGCCAAGGAAGGATGCAAGATAGCTCCCCAGTCGTCTGTGGCTTGGCTGCAGCCACGGGAGCCCCAAGCAGGGTTCTATAGCCTTCGGGGTGGGGCTGGCTGTGCTGTATGGCGGGGCAGGCAGGGCAGGGCCGGCACCTGCGTGTCCAGGAATACAATCCGCTCCTGCGTAATGAAGAAGTCGATGCCGCTGGTCTGGTTGCCCCCTCGTTCCTTCATTTCAGCACTCTGGGCCCGGAACACATATGCCCTGTGGAGAAGAGGAAGTGGGGGTTCGTAAGAGGTCTGGTTCGAGGGCTCACATACCTCCAGAGGGTGACTCTGCCAAACAGCCCTGCCCGCCCACAAAGCCTGCTATCCAGGGCCCTGCTGTCTCAGGCAGCATGGTTTGTACCCTATGACTTCACCCATTCATAAGCAGATTAGTAAGTTCACTTAATAAAGTCAGCAGACAAAGGTGTTTATGAGCACGGATTCGGCCAGGCTGCTGGGATTCAGACTCCCACTCTGCCTCTTCCTGGGTGTGAGCTCTGGGCAAGCGCCTTAACCTCTTTCTGCTCAGCTTCCTCATCTCTCAAACGAGGACAACACTTCCAAGGCGCCTAGGGTTACTGTGAGGTAAATACATGCAAGGCCCTTAGAGCAGAGCCTGACAGACTGTGACGTATCGTCAGTTATTCATTACCAAGAAGACCCACTCTGTGCCAGGCTCTGGGGACCTAGTACTGGCTACCCCCCGCAATCACAGGTAGTCTGGTGTCTCAGTTCCCAGCTCTTCTCCACCAAATAGCTTCCCCATTTCTACCTGTGGTGGGTGCTGGGGACATAAGCGCAAAGCAGGCCAAGCTGGGCCTTGTGAGCTCAACTTGGGACAAGTGGATTTTTCACCTAACAATTTGGACAGATTTGATTTTACTCCCTCAACCTGTAAAATCAGGATGAAAGGGCCTATACCTCTCAAAGGGAATTTCCCACTATTCTGAGATGCTTTGGGTATGTCTGACACACAGCAGGCATCCTTCACTTAAGCATGGAGGTACTGGGGGCCTCCTGGGTGCCAGATACCAAGGATATGTCCGTAAACTTGACCAAGTCTCTGCTTCCACGGAGCTTCGGGTGGAGCTGACAAATGCACGTCAATCGCTGACTGTGGGTGTTTGAAGGAGGGGCAAGTAGTGCAGCTGAGCGGGGAGGCCTTTAGGTGGGCTGCCCTAAAGCGGGGAATAGCGATGCCCAGGGTAAAGACAGAGTTAATCAGGCAAGGGGTGTGTGTGTGTGTGGATGGGAGGGAAGGAAGAACATGACAGGCAGGGGGTAGGGTGGCCTGTGCAAGGAAAGACCAGCATGTTCAGAGTCGTGTGACAGAGGTAGACAGGGAGCAAGAAGGGGCTGTGCAAGCCCTGGGGGCATGGAAAGAGGCTGGGCTTTGGCCTATGAGCCTAGAGAAGCCACTGAAGAGATTCAAGGCGAGTGATCGGATTGGATTTTGGTTTTAAAAAGGTCTCCCCTGCTAGAGGGAATGCTGGAAAAACAAAAAAAATGCACTGACCCATGTCACTTTAATTTTGTGTATTTCACTGCACATAAATTTTATTTCAATAGAATGTATGGGAAAAAAAAAAAAAAGTTCTCCCCTGCTGCAATGTGCGAGCTGCTACAGGGCGGAAAGAGTGGCTAACGGCCTACAGGCGCAGTAGCACCAGGCCTCTCCGACCTCCAGCTACTCAGCCTCCAAGTTATTCTAGGCAAGCGCCTGCCTCAGGGGTTCTGAGCCTGCCAATCCCTCTGACCGGCTTACCTCCTTCAAGTCTGCTTTTTCCCGAACATCCCCCTTAGCAAGGCCTTCCCTGACCATCCTACCGAAAACTGTAGCCCAGTCGCAAGATTGCCTCCCTTGAGTTGTATCTTCCTTTATTTTGTATTTCCTAATGTGCTACACGTATTTATTTCTTTTCTTTACTGTCTCCCCCATTAAAATGTAATCCCCATAAGGACAAAGATTTGTTTCGGTTTTATTGTATCCCCAGCACCTAGCAGGCACTCAGGAAGTATTAGCTGAATGACCTGAAGCAGGGAGACCAGTTAGGAGGCTCAAGGCGTGGCATCCTCCTTGGAGATGCTAGTGACTTGGACCAGGGAGGTGGGCGCAAAGGAGGAAGTGAGAGGCAGATGAAATGATAAATTAAGGGGTGAAACCGATAGGACTTGATGACAAGTCTGGCATTAAAGGCCACCACATGAGAGGCTGACATGGCTCAGAAAGACAAGCTAGCCAATAGCATGTTCTCCATCTCGAGACTCTGAACTTAGAGTCTGAGGGAAATTTTGCCCATCGTGGGTGGAAGGCAAGATGAACAGAACCAATGCCGTCGCCAAGTGGAGTGGAGCTGAGCTAAAGCCACAAGCAAGCAGAGGAGAACAGAGACCGACCTAGCAAAGAGGCAGACAGCCCGCCATAGGTGGGGGAACCTCGCAGCCCAGTCCTAGTGGATGCACAGTCTCCTAAGAGTGGTTCTTAACCTTTTCCAGGTTTCCAGCAGCCCCCTCTGATATCTGGTGAAAACCACTGAAGAAAAAGCCCAACTGCACACGTAGGCAAAATTCTGTACTGTTGGGGGTTCATGGTGCCCCGAAGCCCATGCATGGAACACAAGGTAAGGTCCCCTACCTTATAGAAGAGCTAAAGCCCAATTGTTTGGAGATTACTCACATAAACCTCTGTTCCTCGCAACCCCAGGGACTCCTACCCCTTCTCATTTTGATTCTTCCTTAAGGAGACTGCTTCTCTCTCCTACTCCCCAACCCCTGCCTTTTTCCCTCCTTGTCCCCAGTTTTGGGTCCTATCTTTTAAGCTCTGTTGTCCTCAAAACTCTTTCCTCACAGTGACTTCCACCCTTTGCTTTCACAATCACACATCTTCACTTAAGAATGATGTTCAGGCCAGGGAATCCTCCTGAACGATCCTGACCCTGGCCCAGAAAGGTAAAGCCATTCTCCCGCAGTGGCCCAGCAAGGGCTGGTCTGGAGCCGGGCTGATCTGGAACCCAGCTGCCTGCATCCAGCGCCTTCCCCATTCTACCCCCGGCCACACCAGCCACCACCCTTTAAGCCTTTGCTTTGTGTCAGGCGCTCATTAACTTCTTGCCCACCCTACCACATTCTCCCACAACCCACTGTTAGGTGAGGAACTGGGATACTGGGAGGTTAAGTGAGCTGTCCATGGACAACCAGCTGGTGAATGGCGGGGCTGAGACGGAGGTGGGCCTCGATTCAAAGCCTTAGTGACTAGATCATCCTGCTTCCTGGCTGCCTCCATGCCGTTCCCTGAGTAAGGCAGGAAGGGAGGGAGGAAGAACAGGATAGGAGCTCCACAGCTTTGGGTCCCATCCACAATCACCCTCATCTGACAAAGACACTGAGGCCCAGGGAGAGGAAACAAGTTCCCAACATCCCTCAGTGAGACTGCTGCAACCCCCAGGCCCACCTCCCCCTGCCCAGGTGGGATGATGCCTCCCTCTTGGCCTTCCACACCCATCTGATGCGCCCCTCACCTCTGGTCCTCCTCTGGAGTGTTGGCTGACAACAACGACATGACCATGGACTTGCCCGTCCCCTGGAGGCCCAGGACACCAACCACCAACACATCAGTCTGATCCAACAGGTACTGTGGGAAGATGTGGGGATGTGACTCTCATATATACGTCAATGGCTGGGGCTGGAGGGAGACGGGGGACCCCAGAGATCTTCCTGGCTTCCCCGCCTGAAAAACAACTTCTACAACCCAAGTCCCCTGAACTAGGCAAAGAGCCCGTGTGTATGTGGTCGTGACAGGGGTGTGTGGATCATTCTTGGGATGGAGAACTGCATCTGTGAGGGTGAAGTGGGGAAGAGCTTGGTGTGGTCAAAAAGCTGAAAGGACTCCGGTGTGGAGTCTGAGAAAGAAAAGCCTGGCCTTGGGAAGAGAAGGTGAGGGCCAACAGTGGAAGGACAGGTCAGAGAAGAAGGGCCAGTGACTGAGGGCCAGTCCGGGAGGCCCCTTGCTTCAGGAAGCTGGGGAAACACGGGGAAGCATGAGAAAGGGAGTGGAGTGCTGCAAGTGGAGCAGTATGTCCCGCCTCCAGTCTGGGATTTGGAGCTCTTCTGCAAATTCCTGACTTTATCTCTGGGCCACCAGCTCTGCCAACTTTCACCACCAGGGGGCGAACAAGACTCTGCTCCAGGAAGACACAGCTAAGTCTACAACTGTGGCTGCCCCCTTAGAATCAAAAGGAGGGTTT